AAGCATTATGATTCTTTCTAAATCTAAAGAGTTGTTCGTGAAATTTTTTCTGAAATATTGCCAGAGCTGTATGGCATTGTGATTTAGGTGGTTCAAATCCATCAACCACTTTGCAAGAGAAAGATGAGGCTGTCCGGGTCTGTAAAAATTTATAGTCTTGGAAGCCTGTGAGTCAGAATTGATTTGTTTGCAGTGAATTGGTTTGTTATTGTTGGTGGTGGTGGTTTATGGTAATGCTAAGTGATCATAAAAACTTAGTCTATGAAATAAAACATTTTCATCATCTAAGCAAATTACTTTCATAGTGTCATAAATATGACAAAATCAAACTCAACTGCCATGAAGCTGATTCCAACTCATAGATAATTGACAGGGCAGAGTAGAGCCACTCCATAAGCTTCCGAGGCTGTAAATCTTTACCGAAGCAGACTACCTCATCTTCCTCCTACGTAGCACCTGGCGAGTTGGAACGTCCATCCTTTCGATTAACAACTGAATGCTTTCACTGCTGTACTACCAAGGGTCCTTAAAATATGATAAAATCAAGGATAAATTATTGGTTGACAGTTCTGTATGGTATTTTAATACAAGTGTTAAGTGAGCTTTATTTCCTGTCATATATATATATGTATATATATATATATACACATATATATATATGAGTAGCCAGTCATAAATTAGAATTCTAATTCTTTATCTTAAAATATCCATAGAACTTCTCTGTAATGTTTAATTTCCATCGTATACACAACATGTCCAAAGCCAAACATGCCATATTCAAAATACTTCCCATTTTCATGAGGCCATTCAAACTGGATAACAATAAACTATTTTCTGATTATTACCACATCCTAACACTCTTCTAGGATTGAAAGTTCAGTGACCAAAATAACAACCCTGAAACCTGCTCTCAAGGAGCTTCCAGATTAGCAGCAAAGTTAGGCATTAAACATAAAGCTAGAGGCACAGTGGGTGCTGTAGGAAATGATACACTGTATGGAACTCACCATATTGACAGAGATGACGGGCCTCATCTAGTGTGAGGTTCAGAGAAGGTTTCCTGGAAGAAGTGACATATTCTAACCACAGGGTCGGCAGTTCAAACCCACTAGTAGCTCCATGGAAAAAGATGAGACTGCCTGCTCCTTTAGGATTTAAAAATTTCAGAAACCCAACGGAGAAGTTTTAGTCTGCCTTGCAAGGTTGCTATGAGTCAGAATTGACTTAATTGAAGTGAGTTTTTGTTTTGTTTTGGTTTTCTTGTCATAAATGAAAATGTCAGCTAATTATGTCATTAATGATGCTGGAAATGAGAGAAATCCAGTACAACTCCTCCTCACGACATCGTCACGTCGCAGCCTCTTCATCTGCTTCAGAAATTCAGTTCCCAGTTCCCTTCCAATCTCTTTCATCTTTTTTTTTTTTAAGTAAAAGAAAGGGTGCAACCTAATCTTTATTTATAAGACACTGTGAGATATGAAGTTCCACACAGAAATAAGAAACCCAGTGAAAGGAGAGAGGCTCTGTATAGTATGTAAAGTTTAGAAGAGTTCAAGTGTAATATGTTGCAAAAATTGCTTCCCTAACATATCTGAATATTTTAAGCATTAATGATGCACATCTGGTAGTAGTGAGCACCAAGATGCTAGGTGGTGATAACACTGGTTGTGTTGGTTATATGTCAGCTTGGCTCGACCATCATTCTCAAAGTAGTGATATAATTTGTCAGTTCTGTAGTGATGTAATTTGGCAGTTATGCAACTGTGTAATTTAGCAGTCATATAATGATATAGTTAACCTTCCTGTGTGATCAGATAAGGTCATCCTCCATTTTCACAGAACAGTTTCATATAACAAACTGGTATTTGGAATCTAACCATGTCCTTAAGTAGGGAGTGGGTGTATTTTTGGAGCAAAAACCAGGGCAGAGAGCTACTATAATAAATACAATATTTCTTAACTGCTTTAGATTTGCAATTTGGAATTATTTTTGAGTTGTTACTTCCACCTTTACCATGTCTTTAACATCTACCCAATCATTTCCATTTATTCTAATCTCTCTCCAATTTAAGTCTTTCAAATCACACTTGATTACCTTCACAGCTTCCTAGTCAACCTCTCTGCTTCTAGTCTCGCCCTACTCAAATACATTCCAGCTGTCATCAGATGAAGTTTCTTACAACATATGCTTCCTCATGCCACTTCTCTATCCCAGAAAAATCCTATGGCTTTGTACCAGTTGTTCCCTCTGCCCTGATACTCAAGACTCCCACATTATGACTACACACTGCTTACCTGTCAGATCTCCTGGTTCTTACACATCTAAACAAATAAACAACACTTTTTCACAAGGCTGTTCTTCATTATTACAAATATTGATTGAACACCAACTATGTGCCCAGCAGTTTTAGAATCTGGAATATGGTCATAGATACGAGCCCAGATTTTATGGAAATGAGATTCTAAAGGACTAGGATCCCTGGTGGAGTAGGTGAGTTACACACAGGACTGCTAACCACAAAATCAGTGGTTGGAAACCTTTATCGGAGGAAGATGAGGCTTCCTACTCCCATAAAAACCCACAGGGGCAGTTCTACCTTGTCCTAAAAGATCACTATGAGCTGGAATTGAATCAAGGGCGGTGAATTTGGTTTGGGGTGCTTAAGAATATATTCTAATGGGAGAAGATGAATGAATTTATAAATGAACGAGGAAAACTCTCACATGGTGAAGTGGCAGATGATATGCAGGACATCAGAGTGATGGCCTTGAGATACATTGGTGGCTACCCTAGAGTAGGAGATCAGGAAAATGTTCTTATTGGAGATGGCATTTAAGGTGAGGTGTGGATTATGAGAAGCAGCCAGCCCTGGGACCATCAGGGAAGAGCATCTCAGGTAGTGGATTGTGATGACACGTGGGAAATACGATGACTAGTAAAGGTATTAACGGGGCTCACAGAATCAAGGGATAGTGATTTTGGGAAGATTTTTTGGCCCTGGAGACAGAGGAACATATGCCCTTGGGATGTTTTAGGGGAACGTATGCATGTGGGAATATATGTAAAAGGTAAGAGAAGAAGAGTAATAAGGAAATGTCTAGGTTTTTGCTTGGCACTGGGCAAAGTGGTTAAATTGCAAGGTAAATCAGAATACTATTCCCATGCCTTTCTCAGCATAGTCTTTGCCAGGATTTTCTAAAGAATACTCACGATCATCTGCAGATGGCTCCATTTCTTTCATGGAACTACATTGAGGCCAGTGGGTCAGTAGTCAAAGGCCTCGTTTTTTTGTATCAAGAAAGAATGGATAGTCCTGACTGGTCCAGTATCTAGGTTAAGAGATACCAGTAGTAGGCTCTGCTAAGATACACTAGTCCCCTTAGCCAAGTCCCTCATGGAAAACCAGATGGCCTCCTCTCTCCTTTGTCCTGGGCTTATTGAGTACTTAGGGTTTCTCTGTGTTTCCTGGCATAATGACACAGGGCATGAGGAAGAAGGGAGCCATGAACTAGACAACTGGTGGAGACCATCTGCCTGACTTGGGTTTGCCAGCTCTGTTCCCTGATCTTCTTGAAAATGCCATTTGTGGGTATGACTTGGAGCTTTCTTGCTTTTCCCCACCTGGCATACACTTCTCACATTGCATCAGCTGTACTTACCTTTCAAAGTTCAGCCCCTTCCACTTCTGTAAGTGCTTTTCTACTGCCTTAGCCTCAAAATATCGACCCATTAATTCATCTCCTATGGTTTTTACCATGAGAGGTATCTATTTTAGCCATGAATAGTATACAATCTTGTCTGGTGTGCATATAGCATTAGATAAAATCTTTAAATGTTTTTTATCTTTATTTTTCCATCAAATCACCCTCAGCACATTAACATGTCTGGCAATAAATCTTTATACATTCGTGTTTTAATTAAGAATGTTAAAAGTAATAAATATTAGGAAAGAAAAATTCTTTTTTTTAACCAAATTATTTCTCTTTTATTCTTTACTGCTCCTTTGATTAGCAACTTTGCTTTTTTGTAACCTCTTATCCACCCAGTAAATACCAAAACTCTGTAGCAATTTTGTAAGTGAACCCATCAATTCTTGGTCTCTCTCTCTCTTTTTTTGTCTCTGTCTCTCTTAAGGGAAAAAAAGTTTGTCCTAGATTTTACACGTGTGAACACACACACAACACACACACACACACCACACACACCCCTCCTCCTCCTTTAGTTTCAAGGGAGACAGACACGTGTCTAAAGAAGCCTAGCACAGTAGTACAGGGGTGTGTACCAGACTTTGGCTCAGGGCACTGGGGTATGGATTGTGATAAGAGCTGAAAGAGCCCCCAATAAAATTTTTAAAAATGAGTCCCTTTTTCTGGGCTAACTCGTAGAAAGAAAAATTCTATGATATTGAAAAATATTCTTCACGTAGAAAGTCTCTGCTGGTCTTCTCACTTGCTGGTTGATTATTTCTACTGGGCCACTCTGGAGTTCCTAAATTACAGTAAGAGCAGATCTGTATTTGTTTAACGAATGAAATAAATGATGAGGAAGGTTTTTACATGACAGCTGCAGATGATCGTGCAGGTTGTGCACTGTCCCCCTTAGAAGTCAACCATGATGCATACAACCTTTCAAGCAAGACTAGGCAATACGGGAAAGGTTCCTCTAGGGCACAGGTTCATAGGCCAAGTGTGACCCAGCCATGTTTTTGTAAATAAAACTCTTTTTGGAACATAGGCGTGTCCATGTGTTTATCTATTGTGTGTGCTGTCATGGATGACCATGTTACCAACAGAGATGGATGGCCCTCAAAGCCTTAACATTTACTCTCTGGCTCTGTAGGGACGTTTGCTAAGTAACCCCTAAGGAATCTTTTTTCCAGTAGGAAAAAATAAAAAACAAACTCATCGAGTTTCACATTTCATCTACCAATTGTTAAATGCAAGAAATGTTTTCTTATGCTTTTCTTTTTCCGTTCCAAAGTTATCTTACTCTTTTGCAGTAATGCCTGAAAATTCAAACTTTCCTTATCGGCGGTATGATCGACTCCCTCCAATCCATCAATTCTCCATAGAAAGTGACACGGATCTCTCCGAGACTGCTGAGTTGATTGAGGAATACGAGGTGTTTGATCCTACTAGACCTCGACCCAAAATCATTCTTGTCATAGGTATGAGAAGAGAACGCAGAATTTCATATAATTACTAGCTTTGCTTATTATTTACATTTCAAAACAGTTCTCAACAGTGTGTCTCTGTGAAAAGAGTTAAATAATGGTAAGCAAGAAAAGCAAAAGATAAAAAGACAGTGAGTAGAAATATTTTTAGCACAATTGTCAACAAAGCAAAGAAGTTTTTATAATTAGATAAGCTAATGCCTGTAGCATTTTTATAGATGATTTTCAATTTCATCCCATTACAATGTGATGGAACTGCTTTGTAATTAATTGAAAGTAATAATCTCTTCAAGATTTAGTATCCTGTGGGATTATTTATTTCATATTTAACAAAGAATAGTTGTGTCTACTTCAAGTTTTTTAAACTTAATGTGCTTTTCCTTTTATTCAACAAGCTGAATTTTCATTCACTATTTCTTTTGGATGGGATATGAATAATAATATGTTGGTAAAAACTGCTACAAATGGATCTTCTCTTTATGGCACACTGGCATTTATAAAAGAATTTAAGTTCCATTGAGAAGAAAATCTAATAGAAGCAAATGTAATAGAATTATGTTTTATACAGCAGAATACAACATCTGAGTATTAATCAAAATAATAATAGCTAATTTTAACAATTACCTCTCTGAGTATTAATGTTGAGTATGAAAATATCAGTCCAATGCCAATTCAAAAGGGATAGGTGTACTGAAAATGTTTTAAATATTTTTGAAAAATATGTTTTGACCACTCATACAGTCTAGATTTCTCAAAACCCATGAAGTCGTGCAGAGACCCTTGAACATGCACCATATGCAGTAATTGCTCACGTTCTAGTCTGACTCCTAGATGACCCGGTGAAAAAAACCTAGCATAAAATGCTCAAAACTGTTCTAGCCAGGAAAAAGGCACGCAGCCCCCATGTAGAAGAGAAGGCATAATAATGATGACAACAAGGAAAAAACATGCAAGTAAATACACCGAGCTAATAAACACATTAAGTGGCTCACCAAGCTAGACGCGACATTTGCACATTTGAAAGTGTAATGAAATATGAAATTGAAAATCATCTAGCCCTGAATTTTTAAGAAACAATATTGTAGAGAGAGAGAGATGGCAGTCTGATTTCTGAAAGTAAAATGTTTCTATGGCTGATGGCAATCACTATTATACCTTGAGTTTCTACTCTTTAAAATGCAATGTTGTTGTTGTTTTCATGTCGAAACTTTGGGGTGCTCACCTATAAGACCAGGAGGTACTTTATTGATGACGGAACTCCAGGTGAAGAACTGGACAGCATTTCACTGTTTTCTGGCTTCTGTGAGCAGAACACATTGCTTCCGTTTGGTTGTCTTTCTTGCTCTGAAACAATTGTCAGTGACTTATAACATGATGAACAATTGTAATTCGGATTGACCATAAAAATGATGTAATACCAAATGGCTTTTTTGGAAAACAGTACATATTTTTGATGCATTATGACTTTTATATGAAGATAAAATAGTTTAACAGAGAACGACCTTGGGAGAAATTCTGAAATTTCAAATCTTTCCTACTTCACATGTATTTGTTTGTGCTTTATAAATTTTGTAAAATCAACTTGCTTTCTAAGAGTAAGTCTCTGACTACAGGCTTACAGGCTGTATTATAACTTGTTAGGTGTTACTAGAATGCTCCAGAGGAGCGCTGGTGGCACAATGGGATGCAAGTTATGTTGCTAACCACAAGGTCAGTTTTTAGAAACCATCAGTCGTGCTACAGGGGATTGTAAAGATATATAGTCCCAGAAACCCACAGGGACAATTCTACGCTGACCTAGGAGGCCGCTCTGAGTCGTAATATGCACCATGACGGTGAGTTTGGTTTGGGTTCAGAATGATGCAGACCCGATGAGTACACATCACTGTTAAGGACTGAGATAAGGAAAGAAAGGAAAAATCCAACCACAGGTCATATGAGAAAATTTAAGCAATCTTCTGACTTTGGGTGAATTACCACGTAACTTTACCTGAACCTTGCAAATGTTTACTACTTTCAGCTTTGAAAGGGAGTGGGGTAGAGGAAGTTAAGATGCCCATGTGGTATTGCATATAAAATTTAAAAAACTTCTTTTTCTGGTAATACAGAATTTTATAGAAACTTGCACCGACATTAATCTCTCCTAAGTGAACATAATCATAGAATCTATGATTTGGTTAGATCTTAGCATTTATTAGAATTAGAAATAAATAGAGCAAAATTAATCTGACTCTGGCTTCAGAGAAAAGAAAGTAAAATTAGTTTGTTAGGAAGCTTAAGTAATCAAATGGAT